CATCTCCAAGTATAGGGGAGTCGAAGAGGACTCCTTCTTGAGACGGTTCGTCGAATTAGACGACGCTATAAGGGCGCGTCGCATCGACGATGGGGAAATGCAAGTTGCATTTGCCCAGTCAAATCTGGCAGGACGTGTCAAGACTTGGGCACTGGGGCTCCAGTTGCACGACCCATATGCGTTTGGGTCGTTGAAAGTCTTCAAGTCGCGGCTCAGACAAACGTGTGGCAAAGTCACTACTCAAATTTTGTACGAGGATCGGTGGCCACACCTTTAAAGCGCCGCTTACTGGTGGAAAAGGAGGCCATGAGACTCGGCGATCCAATACGGAGGTGGAAGATGATCTTAACGGGATCGGCGAACCGGTCCAACTGTCGTTAGACTAATGGGTGTGAATCGACCTGGGACGGAGCGATCTGGAACGATTTACATGGAACAATCTGGGACAAGGATCTGGGACCGGGTGATGGGATATGACTCTGCGACGAAGGTGTAACACCTTGCAGAATGTTATGGGGCGATTTGGAACCAGACGTCGAGATGAAGTCATACAGCTCATTGGAATGCCGGTCAAGAAGAAGTATACGTACATTGAAGCAGGCTAAGATCAGATCGCAGATCGGCATGTTGTGGCAACGGTTTGTTGGAGAATTGACACATCTGGGACAAGGTGACTCCCCAAAGTGCATCTGGGACCAGGTGGTACAGGTCGGTGAATCGGCAAAGAAGGTGCAACACCATACGGATCGGTGATACTCTTTACCGATCCTAAATTGGGAGTACTGATTTTGGTTAATTATACGCCGATCTGGAAGTTTTGCATACTCAGGGGAGTCAAGGAAACCGATGTTGAGACGTATGAATGAAGTGGTCGATTGGATAACACTGGTGGATGATATTGAAGCACGTATGAGGAGATGAAAAAGTGTTAATTGCCGATTTAGACCGGATCGACCTCCAACATCTCGATATTGGATGACAGATCGGTCATGGTTCCACACTGATCATGAAAATATGGTTGATGAAGACACTGGATCATGTGGAATATACTTGGTAGAGGTCACTGAGTGATGTCAAGAAGTTTCATGCCGAAAGAGCGAGTGGAAGCTGTCCGAATTGACGTCGCAAAATGGATTTAGACGCCTTCGGCATTTGGGCACTATTTTGGGCTTTTGGGTACCCAAAATGGGTATTTGGTACCCCATTTGGGATTTGGTCCTCTTTTGGCGTTCAGGTACGGTATCGGGAATATTGGCGCTATCATTGGAGTACAGGGCACGAAATTTCGACACGTGGCAAGGGGGCGATCCAGATTCAAGGCGATATCGGTTTGAAGAGTGACCTACAGTTAAAAATAGGCTTAAGGGTAGGTTGGATAGTAATTTGGTTGGTTAATAAACAGACTTGAACTCTACTTCTTCTGCTCACGACGCACGTTATCCTCCCCTCTTCTCCAGGCAAGATTGATTTGGCTTCCCCGGCGGGTTAAGGCACGTGTGTTACAGGGACACAGAAGACCGATCTTGGATTGTTGGCCAAGATCGAGAAGAGCGATCCCGGGATATCTGGCCCGGATCGATCAAGTACTCACACTCAACTCAACTGCTAGGGTAGCAGCACACAACGGAAAAGGAAAAGGATTTTGGACACAGGATCGCGAGACGGCTCAAGTGGTCAGAAGATCTGGACAAGGCGTTCAAGACAAGACCGAGCAGGATCGAAGCGATCCCCCGGACAGATCGGCACGTTTCATTTTGGCGAAACAAGACACCGATCTACCCAGATTGCGCCCTTCCGGCAAGATCGGCCAATCCCAAGACCAGATCGGACCGATCCCAAGGCAAGATCGACGCAGGACTTTTATTTGCTGAGTGAAGATTTCCGCACAGCAAAGACCCCGATCTCGAAGACAAATCAAGATCGGTGCGATCCAAGATCGGGATCGCAGAACCCCGTTCGTGGTGTGAAGATTTCCGCACCGGAAGCGAACCCTCAACCCAACCTCTCAGCGAGATCGACATCTCCCAAGGCCGTTACGAAGAGCTCAAGCCAGCCCAACCGACGGGTACACAAGGTGAGCACAAGGTTATACAGCAAGGCACGGATCGGAGTACCCCCTCCGTGAGTCGGCAAGTCTGGGCAAGTGGAAGCTCGACACTCATACAAGCCATTTTTGTGAGATCGACTTCACCACAATGGTGCGCGTGCCCGGATCTTCTGAGGCCTCTGGATTTCACCGTGAGTCCACTGGCGAAGATGTCAAGATTAAGCAAGAACCTGGGATTGAAGTGTCAGCGACAAAGGGATCGACGCAGACACGCAGAAGCACAAGATCCTCAGATCATCAGAGTTTTGGGAGGGGCTCTGATGAAATGAAAATGAAAGAGGAAGATCGAGAGATCGATCTGGAAGATAAACCTCAATTCCCTCCTAGGGTCCCTTCGGGGGCCACCGCAGATCGCTCTTTGCAGAGCGATCTGCTGGATGAAAATCCAACGGTGAAAACCAAATCGGCGAAAGCCAAACCCTATATCTTAGTCGATAGATCGCCCGACCTCAAGCCGAAGAGCACAATCGCGAGATCGACCACATCAGAACGATCCGCGACGAGATCGATGGGATCAGATGTCAAAGATCGCCAGATCGGCCGAACCGTGCAATCGAAGATCGGAGCCAAAGAGGAATACGATGAAACACCAGATAAGATCGCGATGCCAAAGACGGAATATAACCCAATAAAGATCGCGTCCATGGAGAAGGAGACGACGGGTGAAGCGCGGGAGCGTGCAAAATGGCAGTACTATTATGGCCAGTTGAAGACGCTGCTCAAGACGGACCCAGTGTTCAAGATATTAAGGCCCAAGGTGATTGGTCCTCTGGATAAGCCGATCTCGGTCCCACTTCACGGGACCAACAAAGTCGACGAGATCAATGTGATTTTGCAGATGTTGGACGACATGGGTATCTGCCCTGACGCTTTTGATGGAGATGAACTGCTGAGTTGCAGCTTGGAACAGTTGAAGGACGCGGCGAACGAGTTTGTAGAGATCATGATAATGCTGGTGGGCAAAGCGAATACTCCTGAAGACAAGATCGGGACGCCCTCGGGCTCGCTCTGTAAACACCCCGCGGGATCGCCCCGCTACGCCTCGGATGACTCCGAGAGCGAGTCAGATGGATCCATCAGCATTCGTCAGATGTCTCTAGGACCATCGGGTGGAAGGTTCTTAAAGGACAAGATCGGACAAGCCAAGATCGACGCCTATAAGGGACAAGCCAAGAGCAACATGCCGCAGAGATCGGCCAGTACCCGCACTGGGCTGGAGGATCAAGAAGAGGGCGATCTAAGTCGGTACTTCAATTCAGCCATGAAGAAGTACGAGGCGGAGCAACGTACAGCTCAGCGAATGAATCGACAGCCAAACCGCTACCCAGATCGACGTACTTTGCTCCAACCTTCACACGAAAGCCTTGACATGCCGGATGTGGAGATGGAGTCGGTGGGGTCGGACATTTACCAACATATCCATGAGGCGGCGGAATACGACCCGGATGATCTATGGATGCCCGAACCACGGCGCCCTCAAGTAGCCGCGACCGGTGCGACTACCGGAGGGGGAAACATCACGCAGAGGATCAGAATCTCAGCGATTTCTGAGCTGAAAGAATTCTCAGGGAAGGATCGGGAAGAAGACAAAGCACGGACCTGGATCGGCAAAGTGAAATCAGCGTTTATCCGGGACCAAGCACCGGACGAGGAGAGATGTCTGGTCTTCGGTGATCTCATGGTGGGCCCAGCCCGCTACTGGTACCGACAGCTGAGTAGATCGACGAGATTCAATTGGAAAGAATTGATGAACAGTTTTCTTGTGGAGTATGCGGGACACGGGATGTCCGCGAGCAGGCAATACTACCATGCAAAGAAACGATCGGAGGAAGATCCTTTACAGTACCTGTATCGGCTTAATGTGATGGGAATGCAGGCGAAGATACCGGTGATGACTGGATTGCCAGCTGCGCGCAAGGAACATGTCAATCATTTCATTGACACCTTGGACGACCCCGATCTGTCCAATCAATTGCTACTGCTGAATGTAGAAGACGCGGAGGCCATGCAAAAGACACTGCACGGATATCAACAAGGGAGATCGCGTCAAGGGAAAGTGATGATGGGATCGTCCAAATTCAGGCAGAAGGGAACTCAGGGTCCAGCGCTGTCTAAGCCTGCACGAGCGGTAAGGATGGTCCGTACCGAGGACGTCTGCAGCGAGTCAGGATCGGACACCTGCGGATCGGATTTGGAAGATCGATTGAGATCGATCCATGTGGCTGCTACTGCGGATCGCCGTTCATCCCCCAATGACGTTGCAGCAAACGCGAGATCGGTCGACCCGAACACTCGTCAAGACTATCAAGATCGCAATATGCCATTGAAGCCGTGTACTCATTGCGGATCGACCAAGCATGGAGATCTCGGTTGCTGGAAGCGGCTCACTTGCCAGAAGTGTGGGCGTAAAGGACACCCCTCTGACAATTGTTTTTCGTGTGTCGTGCTTGCGGTGAGATGCACGACCCGGGGAAGTGTCCCATGGAGGAGTTCTATAACATGATCCGTCAGTGGTACGTCCCGAATAAGCATGCGGGGATGCTACCAGAGAAGGCCGAGAAGATGTTAAACTAGGACGCTCGCCAGGTTTGAATCTGGTACGAGCCGAGCGTTCTGGGCTCTGCATTATTGCATACGTGGAAAAAAAGAAGACAGATCGCGAGAGTAAGCAGGATATTGACGTGGAAACAAATATATCTCGTTCGAAGTTAAAACGTGTCGCTTCCGTGTCCCATCTGAAGCGGATCGATGAGTACTCACGATCTGAACCAGCTATGGAGATCGAGCTCGCTTATGGTGAATCTCGCGGATACTGGAAACATTATTCACCCGGGAAGTGGTTCAAACAAGCGAAAGCCGTTGGCAAGATCAACAACGTAAAAGCTACTCTGTTATTTGATTCTGGTGCTGAAGTGTCGATCATTGACACCACCTTTGCTCGTGAGGTCGGTTGCAATATTGACGAAAGTCAACGACAAGAATGTATCGGGATTGGAGAAACTCCGTACATGACGGTAGGACGTACCAAGATCAAGGTGACCCTCGCGGGATCGCTGGTATACTATTTCAATGTATGGGTAGGCGATCTGGCAGGGCAAGAAGCGATTCTGGGTATGGATTTTATGGTGCCTGCTGGAGTGCGGCTCGATCTAGCGGATGGCGCGCTATGTCTACCAGAAGAAATCCGCATTCATCTCGCAGGACGTCGCCCCGCGTACGGATCGAAGATACAACATATAACGGCGAAGGACCAACACGTGGTGATCCCGGTCGGAGAGTCAAGGGAAGTGAAGATCGGGATCGGAGGGGCTAAGATGAAGTTGTGGGTCGCTAGAGGACTAGATTGGGTCCCCACTGTGATCTCGGGGTGGGGTAAGACAGAAATACCTGCAGATGACCAACATTGGCGACCGGGGAGATCATACTGCCCACCCACACTATATTAGGCATGTGGGTCGAAGGCGATATGGTACCGCGGACCCAAGGTTTGGTGACAGTCGGGTCGGGGAAGTACAAGGAATGGCAAACTCTGGCATATGAGGCTACAACGGATCGAGTGAACGAACTCCCGAAAGAACCGATCGGACCATTGGTAGATCGTCCTACGTATGCCGCTCCCAAACGCATCTTGAAACGTCCGTCTGATGCGTTACAGAACCTGTCTCCGGCGATCTCCACGGTAACGTCGCAAGCTAACGATGACGATTCGCAAAAGGCAGATGCTGTAGTTGCGAGGGAAGTAACGGTCAGGGGAGCCGAACTATCGCGGATGGAGAACGGTCATGAGATCGGTACCCAACATGCAACGAAGGGAGACCGCGACACCGGTCAAGAAGGGCTACGTGACAGATCGTCTCTACCGAAGGCTGAGCCGACTGACCGACTGTTGAAATTGGGCCAGCCGGAAGAGACGAAGGAGCCTAAAGAAGAAATAATGCTAAATACTGAAGACGTCGAGATTGCAGAAATACCAGTTTATCACCACGAGAGCGGAGATTTGTTTGCGGAAGATATCGAGCAGCATATGGCCGTGCTACCAGAGATGTCGGCGACTACGGAAGAAGTTACGATTGAGGACATTCAGATCGGTGATCCCGATGTGCCTCTCACCACAGATCAACAACGGCTCAGATCGCTGATCTGGAAGAGCCGTCACCTCCTCATGGGTAAAGGTAATGCTCTACCACCCGCAGCACGAGGCGCGATCTGTGATATTGATGTCGGTGGGGCAGCACCGATAGCGCAAAAAGTGCGTCCGGTCGCACCCAAATATCGGGAGAAGCTGTCAGATCTCATCAAAGGACTATTAGCAGCCAAAATCGTTCAGCCATCCACGTCACCTTGGGCGTCTCCGATAGTGGTGATCATCAAGAAGAACGGAGTGGATATTCGCCTTTGCATTGATTATCGAAGAGTTAACCAGCTGACGCGTCTGATGGTTTATCCCATGCCGTTGATCAGCGATCTGTTGGAAGATCTGGATAAAGCTCTATGGTACTGTTCGCTAGACATGGCTAGTGGATTTTGGGTCGTCGAAATGACCGAACGAGCAAAACTGATCTCAGCGTTTGTCACACCGTTTGGCTTGTTCGAGTGGCTGCGAATGCCTTTTGGGCTTAAGAACGCGCCCCAGATCTACCAACGTCTGGTGGACAATGCGTTGTATGGATATCTCAAGATCGGCCAGAGATCAGCTTCTGATGGCCCGATCGACGTGTTCAAAGATGGAGAACCTGAGACAGATCGACGACCGTCTATACTGGGACGCCGATCTTACATTGACGATATTCTCATACCAGCCGCGTCATGGGGATCTTTGTACACAAAAGTAGAACGGTTGCTGGAGGCATGTGATAAGTGGAATCTGTCTATCAGCCTCACGAAGAGTTTTGGGGGTGCCGTAAGGTCGATTATTTGGGACATCGAGTGTCGATGGATGGTCTGGAGGCTCAGCCCAAGAACCTAGAGTCGTTGGTTAACATCCCGTTTCCTAGCACGCTACGAGCTATGCAATCCTTTCTCGGGAGCTTGAACTACTACCGTCGCTTCATTGAGGATTTCGCGGTGTATGCCGCGGTGTTGTATGAGTTAAGAGAATCGGATTTCTTCGAGATCGGCCGATCTCAGCTTGCAGCAGGAGACGAATGCTCCAACGAGGGTCGATGGACGGAAGCCAAGGTTGCTTTCACTATGCTAAAAGCTAAGATAGCTACAGCTCCCATGCTCAAGCATTTCGACCCAGATCGGTCCCCCGTAATCGTGGTCTACGCTAGCAAGTGGGCTGTCTCAGCGGCCCTGATACAGGAGTACGATGGCGTGTACCATCCGGTGACGTTTACTAGCCGCACTTTAAAGCCTAATGAGCTTAACTACGGAATGGTAGAAAAAGAAGTGCTGGCGCTACTTCGTGTGTTGGATGTATGCTATACTACGCTTGCCTCGCGGGAGATCACTGTACTGACCCGACATTCTACGTTAGCCTGGTTGATGCAGTCTCGAGGGCTCAACGGGAGATTAGGACGGTGGGCTGCTTTGTTGTCAAATTGGACTATGGAGGTGAAGAAATGTGAAAGAGGAGAGGAAGAAATCCTGGGCATGTTAGCAGCGAGTATCACTCCGAGAGGAGAGGTGGAAGAGATGCTGATTGCGATCTCCCCACGAAAAGACTGTCGACTCAAAATATCGATGCCTCCTCCAACGGTGGAAACAGATGAGGAGTTGCTGGTAGCCAGTTTCGATGGATCGGCTAGGATAAAAAAGAAAGGAGGGTCGTTCAGTGCCGTGATATGGAAGTTACCCGAATGGACGATCGTGGCGGCCGAATCGAGATATGTTCACGATCTGACTGTGAATGAAGCTGAGTATAATGGCTTGCTACTGTGCTTTGAGTTACTCGCCGGTCTGGATAGGGGGCGAGTAATACTGTGTGGAGATTCCAGTCTGGTGATTCGACAGATGCGCGGTGAGATCGACTGCAAGGCACCGGGCCTTCAGCTTCTGAGACACAAAGCGTTGGAGAAGCTGCAGTCATGGCCTAGTCACGAGTTTCTGCATATGAAGCGAGAGTGGAATCAGAGCGCAGATCGACTAGCCAGCACAGCATTGCAGAGCGAAAAGGGAAGAACGGTTGTAGCTGAAGAGGATCGGCAAGATCTGATGACTCTGAACCGTCTCGATGAATTGTTGAAGCCCAAGCAAGATGGTCAGCTAGCTCGGGTAACTGCGATCGCGAGATCAGCCAGGAGGATACGTCATGAACCTGAAGTGATACAGGAGGAGATAGTACAGAGGATCAGGATTCAACGAATTGTCCAAGCTCAAGATGAAGAGCGTTGGATTGTCAATCTCAAGACATATCTAAGTGGCGATGTATCAAACTTGGATGCGGTAGAAGTGAAGACGTGCGCCAAACTGGCGCCGGATTACGAGATCGATGAGAACAATCTGCTATTTTTTTTGCCCCATGGCGAAAAGAGAGTCGGAAGATCGCGATGGTTTGATGCGGTTGGTGATCCCTGAGACGTTGCAGCAGGATTTTTTGCATCATTATCACACGAGTCTGGAAGGAGGCCATCAGGGTATTGGCCGAACCTATCAGAGGATCAGATCGCGATTTCATTGGAGAGGACTGTATCGGAGCGTTCAACGATATGTGGGCGAATGTACCGACTGTGAGACCGGGAAAGGAAACCCGATGATTCATGGGAAATCCCCGGGCAATCTACACGCAACCTATCCATTCCAGATCATCGCCATGGATCATATACCGTCGTTGCCCAAGTCCATCAAGGGGAACACCGAACTGCTCATTTGGGTCGACCTTTTCTCGGGATATGTGATTGCAAAGGCTAGCTCCTCTCGGACGGCACAAACAATAGCGGAGAATTACGAAGAATGTGTGTTTCGACGCTTCGGAGCTAGCGAGGCTATCAGGCACGATCGAGAACCGGGATTTATGTCCGACTTCTTTCGAGCCTTCAGTCGGATCGTAGGACAAAAACAGCGTGCTACTATGGCTTACAGGCCACAAGCAAATGGAACAGCCGAACGAATGGTGCAAACCCTGACACATTCGCTCAAGATGTACGTGGCTGAAGTTGACCAGCGAGACTGGGATGAGTATGCTGAGCGGCTCACCTTTGCCATTAACACTGCACAAGATCGGATCCGGGGGATACCCCATTTTATCTGATTCATGGGTGGGACCCGCGATCGACTTTGGAGGCTACGCTACCAGTGGGGAATACGGGGACACGAGATCGCGATCCAAAGAGGTGGAGATACAAAATCCAAAGACAATACCTGCGAGCCCGATCTGCAGTGAACGATCGTTTACAAGCCGCGATCCAGGAGCGAGCGGATCGACACAACGAAGATCTGGAACCACACGAGATCGAAGTAGGAGCGCAAGTTTGGCTATACCTGGACCGAGTTAAAGAGGGATATGCGAAGAAGCTAGCGCACATGTGGCATGGGCCATTCCGAGTTGCGGACGTATGTGGAGATCATGCTGTAAAATTGGAGATCGCTGGAACCCCATATCGGTTATTTCCGATTGTACACATATCGAAGCTAAAAAAGGTAAAGACGTTCCCTGAACGCCCGAAGGATCAGCTTACGATAGAGGAATCAGATCGCTTGGATTTCGATGAAGCTCTGCTGCCGGAAGACAGTTGGGATGGCGATCTTGAAGAAGGGGAATACGAAGTGGAGGTAATATTGGACGTGCGATCTGGTAGAAAAACCCGTTATGGGCGAGTACACCGGCAGTTTCTGGTGAAGTGGAAGGGATATCCCGATCTAAGTTGGGTGGACGAGGCCGATCTACGTTGTGGGGCGATCTTGCAAGAGTTTGAGCGGAACCGAGTGAGTCGAAACCGTTTCGACGTAATGCAGTCTCATGAAGGCAAGTCGGACGAACCTTAACAGTTCGAACAAGTATGCGGGAGGTAGCATATGCGGATGTAGGGGTTGAAAGATGTGCTAGACGGTAGCACATGCTGGTGGATGAGGTTTTTGTATGTGAGTATGGAGATAGTCAAGTGAATTACCTTCCTGAATGATGTGGAGCGAGGAGGATCGAGATCGTGGAAGTTGCAAAGAATGGAAGTACCAAAAAGAAGATGATTGAATGACTTACACGATTATGAAAGACGATCGGGCTTGGATATCGATCTTGGACTAAGACGATGGAGCAGGTTTGAACTTGTCCTGCAGACGAGGGATCTGCGATCCGGGATGATCCCAATAGGCGTTACGGAACTGGTTGCGCCAAGGATCCTCTTGGTCTGCCATGTCCAACGCCTCTAGCAAGTCAGCTGGGTCGTTAGAGTGTCCTAACCCTGGATACCAAACTCGGTCTTCATGTGGGCGCGGATAGTGGAGGAAGAAGGGATCTAGCAAGATGTCGAGATCACAGTGGCCAGCGATCATGCCGCTGAGTATCATCTTCAAGAAGTTCTTCCAACGCGCTCCAAAGCGAGAACGGCGTTGTTTTCGTTGGCGCCAGAATGTCTGCATGAACCGTTCAGATCGCCTTTGAGCCGGAGGAATCGGGAAAGCATGAGTAGATTCCCACAGAGCTTGTCGATGAGTAGACTCAAGCTCCAGGTACCGATGACCCATATCACGATACCATCCAGTCATGGTGAATGATATCGGGTTCACTGGGACTATGATATTATCCCAAGGGGCTAAAGCATAAAGAGCCTCGATGTGCTGCCGCGAGATCAGCCCAGAAGCCCAAGTCCCCGTAGGCGGAGCTCGTCCATGATTGTAGAAGGGAAACAGAAAATTCCTGGGTTTGGAGTAGTGGTGAAACAACAGCTCAATGGTCATGGTCCTCACGCAAACCATCGCGATCCGCGAAACGGACCATGGAGCGATCTCGGAAGCTACCCGTCGGGAGGGCGCCAGATAGTTGGGAATCCACCGATCCCGTGGTTGCTGGAGTGGCGGAAGATTGTCGAAGTCCACGGAAGAGAAAACTCTGTTAGCCACTTGGCGTGCCGGAAGGGTGATGCTGTTTTCGCTATCGGACGAATGGCGATCCGAAAGCGCAGTAGACTCCGGAGGCGGACCAACAGAGCCAGTCTCGCTGTGTGTCTCCCCTGTTGGCGATACCTCCACGTCTTCTACGCCGCCATCATCTTGAATTTCGACTACGGGGACAGCCGCGACCGGAGTGGATGGGTACGAAAGATAACGAGGCTCCGGAACGTCTGGAGAAGGCGAACGCAACAGTGCTTGAGCCAACGCAGTAGCTGCGGGAGAAGCGGGAACAACCCGAGCGGCCGGAGAGGGGTTCGGGGTCGAAGATCGGGCATCCGATCTAGGTTGACGACGAGAGGCCGATCTCGATTGGGATAATGCAGCACGAGTCAAATCATCCGAGCTAGAATCCGACTCGGTCAGCTCCTCACTTCCCGATCCAGTCCCAGAAGCCGCGGACGAAAGCGGAGAACAAGAAGAATTGGGTGGAGGCTCGGGTGGGGCCAATCCGGGAAGTTTGTTTAAAGGTATTGAAGGGTTCAACGACAATAGCCGGGAAGCCACACGGGCGGTGGAAGAATCACTGGATTGTGACCTTGGTTGAATACGCCGACGCTTGGCAGGCGGGCCGGACGATCCCGATCTGGACCTACGGGCAAGCGATCTCGATCCCGGGGTAGTGGGAGCAGGGGCCGATCCGACCGGAGTAGCACTCTTAGGCGTCGATCGAGCGATCAACGCAGACGACCGGGATCCGAGTATAGCACTGTTCAGTGTGTCGAGGAGAGCTCGGTGTTCAGCTATAGCCTGATCCCGATCATGCTCCACCACCTGCAACTGGTCGTATATCTCCTCGAGGTGTTCCGCAAGCTGACGACGTAGGTTGGCGTTCTCCGCCTGCAAAAGTGCCAACTGACCCTCTAGGGGAGTCAAACCATCCACTTGTTGCAGGAGATCGCTGATCGAAGACAGTCCATCTGCGATCTCTTCCTGAGTCTGAGCCAATTGCTCCTTCAAGTGCAAAAAATCTATGTGAAGGAAGGATTTGTCCATGGTCAGCTGATCACGCTGCTGTCGGAGAGAGTTGAGTTCGGCTTGGAGCGAATAAAGCTGAGCCCTCAAAGCATCCACCTGTCGTTCCAAGTTCCCCTGAGCCTCGTCGTTGGCACATATCAAAGTGCGTAACCGACGAATCTCCTCCGATTGATCTCGATATGTCCGCAGAGCTCGATGGCAATCACTCAAAGAATGCACTGCGTCGACGTAGCGGCCCTGCATCCAGTCATATCGAAGCTGGACGAAGGAGACAAAAGGAGCGGCTGATCTGTATAGAGAATCAAGCTCGTCTTGTAAGCGATCCCCCCCGGACGACGGCATCTCGGTAGGATTGCTGGAGCGCATGAATGGTGTCGGCTTGGCTGCAGAAGGTAGCCTCTCGATCCCACAAATACGAGATCGTGGCCATCGTGAGACGAACGTCGTCGGCAGAGACTCTGGGAACGAAGTCGGTGACGCCCACAGCTGGAGCAGACCTTTCACGAGATTCATTAGCGGCCGGGATGTCGGATCTGGACGCATCTGGGGCCGCCGGAGGAGTGGGAAGCGGGAATGGCTCGGAGGAACGATCTGATAATTCCGCGGCGGTCGAGAGTGATCCGACCGATCTGGGATTACTGAGAGACTCATGTTGATCTGGGACGATAGGAGCATACCACCCGCGATCTGGCGATCTAGATGGCGAGTCTCGGGATGGAGACGAGGGTCTGGTCGGCTGTCGATCTGGCGATCCTGTGGGGATTGTGGGCGATCCGGTTGGGCCTAGATGGCGCGGAGACCCAGGCCGATCGGGGACCGCTGGGGTGTGTCCTCCGAGATCGGGCGATCCGGGCGACAGGTCGCGATCCGGAGACAGAAACATGGTGGGTCCTTCTGATGAGATCAGCGAGGTGGGTGGATGCGTCGGAGAGGCCATGAGACGGACTTGAGTGCTTGGAACGAAGTTGATGAGTGACTGTACTGAGGTCAATTGCTGTACAAAAGACTTCAGTACATGGGGCGGTTGTGGCAAAGTCACTACTCAAATTTTGTACGAGGATCGGTGGCCACACCTTTAAAGCGCCGCTTACTGGTGGAAAAGGAGGCCATGAGACTCGGCGATCCAATACGGAGGTGGAAGATGATCTAAACGGGATCGGCGAACCGGTCCAACTGTCGTTAGACTAATGGGTGTGAATCGACCTGGGACGGAGCGATCTGGAACGATTTACATGGAACAATCTGGGACAAGGATCTGGGACCGGGTGATGGGATATGACTCTGCGACGAAGGTGTAACACCTTGCAGAATGTTATGGGGCGATTTGGAACCAGACGTCGAGATGAAGTCATACAGCTCATTGGAATGCCGGTCAAGAAGAAGTATACGTACATTGAAGCAGGCTAAGATCAGATCGCAGATCGGCATGTTGTGGCAACGGTTTGTTGGAGAATTGACACATCTGGGACAAGGTGACTCCCCAAAGTGCATCTGGGACCAGGTGGTACAGGTCGGTGAATCGGCAAAGAAGGTGCAACACCATACGGATCGGTGATACTCTTTACCGATCCTAAATTGGGAGTACTGATTTTGGTTAATTATACGCCGATCTGGAAGTTTTGCATACTCAGGGGAGTCAAGGAAACCGATGTTGAGACGTATGAATGAAGTGGTCGATTGGATAACACTGGTGGATGATATTGAAGCACGTATGAGGAGATGAAAAAGTGTTAATTGCCGATTTAGACCGGATCGACCTCCAACATCTCGATATTGGATGACAGATCGGTCATGTTCCACACTGATCATGAAAATATGGTTGATGAAGACACTGGATCATGTGGAATATACTTGGTAAAGGTCACTAAGTGATGTCAAGAAGTTTCATGCCGAAAGAGCCAGTGGAAGCTGTCCGAATTGACGTCGCAAAATGGATTTAGACGCATTCGGCATTTGGGCACTATTTTGGGCTTTTGGGTACCAAAAATTGGTATTTGGTACCCCATTTGGGATTTGGTCCTCTTTTGGCGTTCAGGTACGGTATCGGGAATATTGGCGCTATCATTGGAGTACAGGGCACGAAATTTCGACACGTGGCAAGGGGGCGATCCAGATTCAAGGCGATATCGGTTTGAAGAGTGACCTACAGTTAAAAATAGGCTTAAGGGTAGGTTGGATAGTAATTTGGTTGGTTAATAAACAGACTTGAACTCTACTTCTTCTGCTCACGACGCACGTTATCCTCCCCTCTTCTCCAGGCAAGATTGATTTGGCTTCCCCGGCGGGTTAAGGCACGTGTGTTACAGGGACACAGAAGACCGATCTTGGATTGTTGGCCAAGATCGAGAAGAGCGATCCCGGGATATCTGGCCCGGATCGATCAAGTACTCACACTCAACTCAACTGCTAGGGTAGCAGCACACAACGGAAAAGGAAAAGGATTTTGGACACAGGATCGCGAGACGGCTCAAGTGGTCAGAAGATCTGGACAAGGCGTTCAAGACAAGACCGAGCAGGATCGAAGCGATCCCCCGGACAGATCGGCACGTTTCATTTTGGCGAAACAAGACACCGATCTACCCAGATTGCGCCCTTCCGGCAAGATCGGCCAATCCCAAGACCAGATCGGACCGATCCCAAGGCAAGATCGACGCAGGACTTTTATTTGCTGAGTGAAGATTTCCGCACAGCAAAGACCCCGATCTCGAAGACAAATCAAGATCGGTGCGATCCAAGATCGGGATCGCAGAACCCCGTTCGTGGTGTGAAGATTTCCGCACCGGAAGCGAACCCTCAACCCAACCTCTCAGCGAGATCGACATCTCCCAAGGCCGTTACGAAGAGCTCAAGCCAGCCCAACCGACGGGTACACAAGGTGAGCACAAGGTTATACAGCAAGG